TTCTGTTCATAGGCTGGGAACAGGTGCTCTGCAGGGGAGGCCAGGCACCAGGTGTGTTTGTACGGAGGGTGGAGAGGGCGGGGGCGTGGCTCCCAGTCCTACCCCTCCCTGTGGCCGCAGTCTCCTCCTCCCTCAGCAATGGAGGGCTGAGGGTGTGATCTGCAGGTGACAGATGGGGGCTTGCAGATTAGCCTAGGGTCCTCTGCTAACAGAGGGGAGGTAGCGGAGGCTTGATTTGTACCACCATCTGCAGCTGGCTCTGCCCAGATGCTTGTCCCAAGGAGGCCCAAGCTGGGCAGGGGTGGTAGTGGTGGTGTGTCTCTGTTGGGAGCCTGAAGTACATTGGTCATTATGTTCAGGAGTCAGTGAGGTGATGGGGACACGGGAGCTGTCCCTAGCTGAGTAGTATCCTCTTGTTGAGGTCTTAACCCTTGGCATGTCTGAATGTGACAGGATCTGTGGGAGGGGCCTGTGCAGGGGTTGAGAACGTGAGGTCAGAACCTGTCAGCCCCAAATTCTCCCTTATCTGCTGACCACTGCCAGTGGCAGCCCCTGACCCAGCAACCCTGCACCCCCCCCCACCCCCAGAGAGCAAACAAGTCATCACTGTCCTCCCTGCTTGGGGCAAGTGGCTGACCGTAACTAGATATGGAATGTGGTCCCCGGCCAGTACCTCCCCAAGCCCAGCTGTGCCATCCCTGCTCTGCTGTAGGCACTTCAAGGGCACATCAGCACCTGCACCTGCAGAGTCTCCCGAGCAAACGCAGGCCCCGGGCACTCTGTCCCCACGTAGGTGTAAGCAGAGACTCCAGTAGAGCACCAAGTGGGAGCAACAGAACGGAAGGAAAACTGGGTTTCAGTCTTTATAAAATCACATGCTTTCGGAAGAGAAGAATGGAGCATGGCCTCGTTAGCATAGTGGGTTTGCTTCCGGATGTTTCTATAATGGCTGAATTATTTAGAAGCGCAATCCCCTTGCAATTTTACAGAAGAAAAGGAAGGGGAGGCAGGGCAAAGAAGAGGCTCTGAGAGGGACCAGCCCTTTGCTTCAGCTCTTACAGGGGCCCACTCACACTTCCCCAAACTCAGCAATGGAGTGAAGGGGCCCTTTCCCAGGCGGGGCGAGGGCTCCTGTGAACAGCACACACCAGGTGTGGGGCTTGGCAGAGAAGGACAGGGGGCAGTGTCTGCAGGTGACTGAATGAAGGTCTGGGCGGGGCTGGCACTGCGGCTTGGGCTGCTCTGTGTGGCTCGTCTCCATGGACTTCAGTGGGGGTACACCTGCCTCTCTCCCTCCCTGCTTGCTCTGACCCTGCTTCAGCCCCAGGCACATCACACTGCCTACCTCTGGACACGCTGTCCACCATGGAGAGGATCTGACCCGTCTGAAAAAAGACATCCTGGGACTCAGCTCCTCTATGCGGCACTGTGGGGAGGAAATGAAGTTGCGGCCGCAGGGCCTAATTAGTGTATTAATGTCATCTTTAGGCCAGGGGTTAATTTCTTTTTCCTTTAAAGATTTATTCATCAGTTTGAAAGGCAGAGTTGCAGAGAATGGAAAGGAGATAGGCAGAGAAAACTGCTGTCTTCTGCCTCATGCCCCCAGGTGGCGGCCATGGTTGAAGCCAGGAGCCAGGAACTCTGCCCAGATCTCCCATATGGGGAGCCCAAGCACTTGTGCCACCATCTCTTGCTTTCCCAGGGGCATTTGCAGGGAGCTGGGCCAGAAGTGGAGCAGCCTGGGTTCAAGCTTGCAGTGACACGGATGTAGATGCTACAGACGGTGAGTTAATCTGCACCACAGCACCAGCACCAGACCCACTCTCACGGCGGGGGGCGGAGTTAGATTTTGAGGAAGGCTGGGGCAGTTACTGTGCGAGGGGGTTATTGTTGAAGCAGGCCAGCCTTCCTGGCTCTCTCTGTACAGGTGCTCCGTCCCCAACCTTCTGCTGTGCCATGTACCATGTTATGATAAGGCTTGAGGCTCTTGCAGGTTCCCAGCTTCAGGGACACTGACCTAAACAAACCTCTTTTTTTTTTTTCATATAAACTTCTTAACCCTAGGTTGTGTTGTTATAGCAACACAAAATAGGCCAGAACACTGTCATTGCTGAACCGGGCGAGGGTCCTCTTGTATTTATTTGCTCTTTTCCTGAATCTCCTTCTCATCCTCTTTGTCCTCCCTCCACCTGTGGGCAGACTCACGTTTAGATGGTTGAAAGGTGTCCCAGAATCAACACGTCCTGTCTTTACAGAGAAGGCGTGCAGTGCACATCAGGTGAGGCGCTTGGCAGAGAAGGACACGGCCCTGTCTGTGATCGGTCTAGCATCTCTGTCTCTATGTGCTGGTGCTGCAGGCATGCGTCTCAAGTAGACACGAGAGCCTTGAGGGCTGCTAGCTTCACTCTGCTCTGCCTCCTTCAGTGCACGTGTGACACCTGTCACTGCTCATGACCTAGGTCATGGCTTCTCTCCGGAATGAGCCTCTCTCACTGTGTGCAACTGCTGTGCTTCGAGTGCGCTTCCGCAAAGCACGGCCACCACACAACAGAGTTAGCGTTCCTGTCCCCTTCCTCTTATTGGCCTTTGCAAAAAAGCCTCTGCAGTATATACTTGGGGTGGACCTTTGAGTCCTATGATACAAGGACTCTCAGCCTGACTGTCCACCAACTGGCACAGCAGAGCCCAAGGCCTTCTGTTTCCTTGTGTCTTTACCAACACTGACCACACTTTGAATTTGTGACGTTGGTAACTTGGTAAGCACGTGGAGGTGTGCCATTGTTTTAGCTTGCCTTCCTAAGCTTGCCTAGCTTGCCCAGCTCTCCCTGCCCAGGCTTCATTTAAGTGTGTTGTCGTGGTATGCCCCGTCTTGACCTCCTCCATCCCTGCAGTGGCCTCCTGTCTCTTCACACGAACCCCTGCTCCATTTGGAATGTTTCCCATGGCTCCCCCGCTCTTCTCTGGAGCATGGTTGCCACTACCATTCCTTTTTGGGTAGACATCCCTCATCCCCCACCTGAGAGTCTTAGACACCTGTCACCTTGCCTTCTGACTAGCTTCTACCTTTACTTTCCACATTTGGAGTCTGAACCCAACTGGCTTCACCACAGGCACGTCATCCTTCTCTTCCCTCTCTCCTCTTTTTCAAGTTTGAGCATTTCTACTTTATCCCAAGGGTTCAGCAGGTGGGTTGCCTTAAAAATAGCTGACCTAGAAAACAGCTTCTTTATGAAGAGCAAGGAAGAGTGGATAGAGGCATTTCCAAAACATCCATCAATTGATTTTTCTAAATTTTGTGTGAACATGCAAAGGTTTTCATGGGATTCTGGGTAACATTTCCACAGATGAATCAAGCCTGCCAGACTGTTGAGTTTCTCCCTGAGAAGCCCGGGTCCCATCAGGCATCCTTTTGGGGAACAAACCAACCACCTGTTAGCACTTCAGCTGAGAGGACAGGGAGAAGCACGTGTGTATGGAAAGCCTGGATCTGCAGGATGGGAACGCTGATGGTGCTCCCCCTGCACTAGCCAATGCAGTCCTCCTTCCTCTGAGCACGCACGCGACCTCATCTGAACTGAAGAGGACCTCCCGTGGGTCAGTTTGCAGGTGTCTGATTCACAAGCTCACCTGGAAGCCAGTGCAGCTCTTTGGTGGACGCTGGACTGGCCTGAGCTTCGGCAGAAGCAAAATGAAGACAGAGAGCAAGTGACCTGCTCTAGTCCCAAGGTGGCTGGCACCAGCCTGACTGGCTGTCCAGCTGAGCCTTGGGACTTGGGCAAGGTGGACTTCTTTCATTCCTGGCCTAATCCTTCCTTAGCCTTGTCCTAAGCCAGGCCTTTTTGTTGATTTTTTTTTTTTTTGCTGTCATCATTTGCCTTATTTTTATTTGAAATATAAGAATTACAGAGAGAAGGAAAGGCCGAGAAAGAGATCTTTCATCTGCTGGTTCACCCCCCGCCCCCCGCCAATGGCTGCAAAGGTGTTCTCTTCTGAAGCCAGGAGCCAGGAACTTCTTCCAGGTCTCTCATGTGGGTGCAGGGGCTCAAGCACTTGGGTTGCCTTCTGCTGCCTTCCCAGGCATGTTGGCTCTATTGGAGGTGGAGCAGCTAGGACTTGAACTGGGGTTGGTATGAGATGCTAAAGCCACAAGGGGGAGGTGTAGCCTGATATGCCACAGTGCCAACCCTTGTTGAATCCCTGTTGAGGCTTCTTTTGTCAAGGATGGAACCCTTAGCCACAAGGCTCTCTTGCCTACAGCCTGTGCTCTCCAGCCAGTTCCTAATGCAGTCAGAGTATACTTCCTGAGAGATGCCTGAACATTCACCCCATGGCTTTGTCCCCTTCACTGGTTTCCCAGGGTCTACACCCAGGGTGCTCAACCCTGGCTACACTTGGGATCACTCAGGACCTTCAATGACAATTGCACCTCTGCTCACTGATTCAGAACCCTGCTTAATGCTGGGGTGCAGGGTCTCAGGCACAACCATTGAGTCCCCAGAGGACTCACACACTCTTCAAGGCTGGAGAATCTCTCATGCCCAGCCACCAGCAAGGGCTCCTGGCCAGGGCGGCCAACAGGACCAACATTCATTGAAAAAGCAATGAATCAGGATCAGATTCCTGGGGATAAGAGCATGTGCCTACATGTCACCATCATAATTAGCTGTTCCAGCTGTCAGGGCAGCAAATGGGAGGCAGGGATGCACTAGAGGACATTGCAAGAGTGATATGTGGGCTGTGGGTTCCTGAGTCTGACCTAGGGCTCCTTGTACCCCCTCAGCGATGGGGTTTCCATGCCTGCTGAGGCTGCTCGCCTCCCTGAGGGGTCACTCTTGGAAGGCAAAGGATGCAGGAAAGAGAGTGTGGGTCTTGACAAAACAATTTCCATCAGACAACAGCTTCATTTTCCCATTGAGAGTGCTCATCCTGAGCCTACCTCTCTCAGGGTTACAGAGTTGGAGGGGACCCCAGGGGCAGGAGATGTCATGTGTCTGTCCTACCTGGATGAATGGGAAGAGGAGGCCAACTGTGAAGTTGGACAGCCAGTTGACCGTGCCTGCGATGATGAAGGCTGCTGGCCGCTGGGACTGCTGGAAGAACTCACCAGTCAAGATGAATGGGATGCCACCTGCAAAGGACAGCCATGAGTTCAGAGCCATGAGTTCAAGAGCCCCTTTCCTTCCACCTCCACAGAAGTGTCCACATATCAGGAACTTATTTCTGGCAGGAGCTGGCTCCACTTGTGAGAAGTGGGTGCTATAGCCAGACTACCTTTCCCTTGCCCCAAGCCCTAGATGTAGGAAGCTATTTCTCTGTCATGGGCTGAGCCCACAAGAGATTTCTCATCCTCTTGGTCCTCTCAGTGCCCTCTGGGCCAAGCTGTGCTTCACCACAAACTGAGCCACATCTTACTGTACACAGGGCTAGCAAGGTACCACACTTAATCTCTGGAAGAACCAAGCTGGCCAGGTTCTGGCTACTGCAAACCTGGGTGAGAGAGCTGAAGTTCCCAGGGCTCCCACCATCTTGGCAGCAGAGTCAGCACGCAGGAATGAGGCCTCCCACGTGGGTGCAGGGTCCCAAGGCTTTGGACCATCCTCGACTGCTTTCTCAGGCCACAAGCAGGAAGCTGGATGGGAAGTAGGGCTGCTAGGATTGGAACTGCTACCCATATGGGATCCTGGAGTATGCAAGGCGAGGACTTTAGCTGCTAGGCTACCTCACCGCTGCCCTCCCCACCCCTTAAAGAGACAGGTTCATGGGCCTGGCAGTGTGGCTTAGCAGCTAAAGTCCTTGCCTTGAATGCACCGGGATCCCATATGGGCACTGGTTCTAATCCCGGCAGCTCCATTTCCCATCCAGCTCCCTGCTTGTGGCCTGGGAAAGCAGTCGAGGATGGTCCAAAGCTTTGGGACCCTGCACCCACGCAGGAGACCTGGAAGAAGTTCCTGGATCCTGGCTTCGGATCGGCATAGCAATGGCCGTTGCGCTCACTTGGGGAGTGAACTGTTGGACAGATCTTCCTCTCTGTCTCTCCTCCTCTCTGTATATCTGACTTTCCAATAAATAAATAAATCTTTAAAAAAAGAGAGAGAGAGAGAGAGAGACAGGTTCCTGGTGTTTCTGTAGCAGCTAGGTGCTCACTGACATGATCCCCAGTTAAGGGCAGGTGAAACGCTGGTGGAGAACTGCTCTCTGCCTTGAGTAGAGGAAGGGAATAGGGACCAGACCTCTGACTTGAGCGCAGTTCTAGACCTGTTCCTGGCAAACCTAGAGCTGCCCAGGATTCCATGAACTGTCCTTAACCAAGTGCCCAGTCTCTGGTGGGGACAGAACCAGACTCCAGCTACCAGGGGTTAGGCAGAAAAGGTGAACTCAGCCGTGCAGAGCTAGGTCTGACCTCAGAGCTAGGCCCAGCATGCTGAGCACTAGACAAAGCCCCAAGGCTTCTATTCCAGGTCAGTGCTCACAGAGGCAGCCTCTCCATCTGCCCCGGCCCAGGCAGAGGCCTGTCCCTCGGGCACTGTCCTCATTTGGATAGGAAGTTAGGACTCACTCAGCCTGTGGAAGTGGGGAGGACCTAAGGACAGCAAGGCCTCCACCGGAAGCTTGGAAGCTCACCTCGGAAGCAGCCCAGTCTTCTACCCTACAAAGTCCTGCCTAGGTGGACTTGGTCATCCCCCAAGCAAGGCACCCTAGGGAAATGTTCTCTTCAAGTTTCAGTCTGATAACAATGGTAATAAAACCTTGAGAGGAATTTTTCCTATTCTTCACCCAGCAAACACTGTCCACGAGAAGTGGGAGAGGAGGGACAGTGTGAAGAACTGACCCCCATCCATTTCCAAGCTCCAGTCCCAATGCAGGCAGTGTTCTTGATTCTGGGCTCTCACTTGAGGCACCGCCTAGCCTGTCAGGTGCGGTCTCTCCATCTGACCAGGTAAGCTTGCTTTACCTAGTCTGAATGAACGGGCCTGGTGATTCTACCTGGTGAGGTGCCTGTCAATTCTGCTCCCATTCAATCTTGCTCACCTCTCCTCTGTCTTACGCCTAAATTCTCTCTGCTGCAAAGGCAAAAACCCATTTCACCCATCTCCACTGACATTTTTAAGTATGTATCACTGCTAGCATTGTGCAACATGGTGTATACCCCAAGACACATAGGCTCTGGTTAGTGTTGGATTCAGGTATGACCCAGCTTAGCCTCAGCCTTGGCAGCCAAGTGATTGCTTCCACCAACTCTTCGCCAGCCATAGGCAGAAGGAGTGAGACTTCCACCACAGGTGAGCAGGGCAGGAAAGTGAGTGAGCTCAGGACTTTGCCTTGAAGCTCAGTGCCAGCCCCAACACTGGGAGATCCAGGAGTAGAGGGACAGAGGCCCCTGTGTCCAGGCCAGCACTCACAGCCAGTCTCCACAGCACACAGGCAGGTGGCAGCTTCTCGCTGAAATGGTGCGCATCTGCACAGGGCCTTGATGCTGTGAGACACAGGTGTCAGCCTGAGCAGCCAACGGACTGCCTTTCCCACTCCTCCCTTAAGCACAGGCAGACAACAAGGAGTAAGATTCTAGCCACTGTGGAGTGGGGCACCTAGATGAGCACAGGACTGCCTCTTAGATCTAGACAAATCCTCTCTGGGCAGATACCAATGCACCCAGGCCCATGCCCAAGGACAGTAGTCCTGGTCCCAACTGGAGACTTGTGGTCCAGTTGGCTTTATAGTTCAGCCAGCATCACCTGTGGTTAGCTGTGGCACTTCATTCTGCAAGCTCACATCAGCACCAGGCATCCACAGGGGAGTCCTGGCTCTGCTGCAGGTGGTGCTCGTTCTGGGCAGGCTGTGGACTGTGGGTGTGACCCAGCATTGCAGTACAGGACTGCTCGACTCATTTCTCTCCCAGCTTCCCACACCAGTCCCCATCAAGGACTATAGCCCAGAGAGAATAATTGCTCTTTTTCGAAGAAACAAAGGTAGGTGAGTACCATGACATTGCATAGGAACCCAGGCTGGCACTGCAGAGACTCAGTGCCCTGTCATATTTTAGGTTAATTCTACATCATGTTCCTGCCCATGTCATAACACAAGCAATCTCTCTAGGACTCCAGGCCAGTATTCTCACCATCCTGGCCAGAGTGGACAGAGGGTCAGTGCACCTGCAACCCCAGCAGCTCATGGGCAGCTGCTAAGGCACACATAACCCCTGCTGTAACTGCCATCAATTGCTGTGGAAGAAGACACAGAAAGACACAGAAAGACTATCAAGTCAGAATAGCCTCTCACAGACCCCTGAAGACACAGCCTCAGGACAAAGTCTTCTGTCAGAAAAGCCACTCATTAAAAGTGATAAAATCAACCAGCCTGCCAGATGTGCAAACATCAATGCACAGACAAAGAAGTATCGAAAAGCAGCACAGCACCCCAAAGGAAACCAAGGCTCCAGAGGAGAACAGACCCATGGAATCCACTAGGAAGCTCAACAAGACAAGGAGAGTGTAGACAGCTCAACACAATCAGAGAAGCAAGGCGGGCTCTGAATGAGACATCCAGCAAAGAGATAGGGATACTGAGAAATCACCAGAGACCTTGGAAAAGAAGAACCCAGTGAGTGAAGAGAAGAAAAAAATCGTGAACTTGTCTTTTGATGAGAAGTCTTTTGAAATAAGTCAGAACTCTCCCCAAAAATATGGAAAGAAAGGGGAAAATGAAGACATCTCCCAAGGGCCTTGGACACCATGAAGTGAAAAAGACTCAGACGTGGGATCCCTGAGTGTGAAGAGTGGAGACACTTAGACCTCTTCAGCGACATTGTGGCTGGAAACCTCCCTTGCAGAGACAAAGGACATCTCAGCCCAGGAGGCCAGAGCATTCCACGGCCCGCTACTGTCCGACTCCTCCAAGCGCATCCTAGAATTCTCCAGTGTGCCACTGTGGAGGGCGGTCCTATTAGATTAACGACGGATTTGTTAACAGAAGCTTACAGTCCAGAATAGAATGGCGTATTCCAAGTTCTCAAAGAAAAAAAAAATTGACACCAGAACTCAGTGACTAAATAACCATAGCATTGCACGTAACTGGATTAATTTCACTAATTAAAAGGTCCAGACTGGCTCAAAATGTTGAAAAACAAAGCCCAGTGATATGATGCCATAGAAATGCATTTTGCGAGCAAAGACACGTGATGTGTAAGTGAAAGGTTGGAAAAGGATGCTCCATGCTAGGTTTCCTGCTGTCCAGCTCAGTGGGTGCCTGAAATCACAAACTGACACCCCCTCCACCGGATTTCCATGGGATTGCCCAAGTCACGGAGGAAAACAGTTGCTGATGGAGATATCAGGAAAGCTCCAGAAGTTGGACAGCTGTCACTGATTCCAGACACTACACAACCAGCCCATGTGTGTCTTATTTAAGAGGGAGAGAACGAATGAGCAAGTCAAGAGGTGAATGATAATTTGTCCCCAGGCTTGTTTCCCAAATGCCCACAACTGGGCAGAAGCTGGGATCCAGGAGCGTGATCCAGGCCTTCCACCTGGGCGGCAGGAACCCGACTCCGGAGCCACCACTGCTTCCTCCAAGGTTGGCATCAGCGGGAGGCTGGAGCTAGCTCCAGCTGTGGCATCTGAACAGGTCTCTCGAACGCTAGGCTGAACACCTGTCCCCTGCTGAACTTTTTAGTTTTTAGAACTTCTCCATTTCTGTTAAAAATTGAGTCTTGTGCACTGACCAAAACCTCCGAGGGTCTCAAATATTTCTCAGGACAGCGTCTTCTTCGGACGGCCTCTCTAGGCTGAGCTTTTTTGGAGAGAATCTGGCAGAAAAATCTACAAAGAACACTGTAATCTTCATCTTTGAAAAAAAAAAAACCCTCCCTAATTAATTCCACCTTAGGCTGCTGTGGGAACAGTAGGAACAGTAAGCCATTGGGGAGAGCAATTAAGGAGGAAAGGATGAGACGGGGTCTGAGTCCTGGGGTGGCCACAACAGGGTTCTCTCTCTGGAGCGGCAGCATCCCCCCTGTGGGCTAGGAGGGCCTTCTCTGCAGACTCCGTAAGGCTTAGGGACAAGGTGGCCATGCACCTGCTGCTAGATGAGTATTCAAAGAAGAGAAGCAATACAGAAGCTTCACTTGGTCTT